GATTCTGCCTTTAAAAAAAAAAAAAAAAAAAAAAATTATGCTAAATGTACCCTGTCTATGCTCTGTAATTGGAACAACACAGCCTGAATGTCAGCACATCTGTTTACAGAAAGGTTTACTGAGTATTTTAAGCCTACTGTTAAGACTTACTGCTCAGAAAAAGAGATTCCTTTCAAAATATTACTGCTCATTGTCAATGCATCTGGTAACCCAAAACCTCTGGTGGAGATGTACAAGGAGATGTACAAGGAGTTTTCATGCCTGCTAACACAACATTCATTCTGTAGCCCATGGATCAAGGAGTAATTTAGACTTTTAAGCCTTATTATTTCAGAAATGTCTTTCGTAAGCCTATAGCTGTCAAAAACAGTGATTCCTCTGATAAATCTGGGCAAAGCATATTGAAAACCTTCTGGAAGGGATCACCATTCTTAATGCCATTAAACACATTCATGATTCACGGACAGAGGTCAAAATATCAACATTAGCATGGGTGTGGAAAAAGTTGATTCCAACCCTTGACTCTGAGGAGCTCAAGAGTATGGTGGTGGAAGAAACTGCAGATGTGGAAACGGCAAGAGAACTAGAATTAGAAGTGGAGCCTGAAGATGTGACTGAATTGCTGCAATCTCATGATAAAATGATCAGGAGTTGCTTCTTATGGATGAGCAGAGAAAGGGATTTCTTGAGATGGAATGTATTTGTGGTTAAGATACTGTGAACACTGTTGAAATGACAATAAAAAATTTAGAATATTACATGAACTTAATTTAAAAAGCAACAGCAAGATTTGAGAGGACTGAGTCCAGTATTAAAAACAGTCCTCCTGTGGGTAAAACGCTATCAAAGAGCACTGCATGCTACAGAGATATCTTTTGTGAAAGGAAGAGTAAATCCATAAGGCAAACTTCGTTGTTCTTATTTTAAGCAATTGTCACAGTCACCTCAACCACCGGCAACCACCACCCTGGTCAGCAGCCATCAACATTCAGGCAAGATCTTCTAGCAGCAAAAGATACAAACTTGCTGAAGGTTCAGATGATCATTTGCATTTTTTTAGTGATAAAGTATTTTTAAACTAAGGTATACATATATTTTTGAGACAGAGTCTCACTCTGTCGCCAGGCTAGAGTGCAGCTGGCGCAATCTCGGCTCACTGCAGCCTCTGCCTCCTGGGTTCAAGCAATTCTCCTGCCCCAACCTCCCAAGTAGCTGGGATTACAGGCACACACCACCATGTCCAGCAAATTTTTGTATTTTTAGTAGAGATGAGATTTCACCATGTTGGCCAGGATGGTCTCAGTCTCCTGACCTCGTGATCTGCCCACCTCGGCCTCCCAAAGTGCTGGGATTACAGGCATGAGCCACCGCACCCAACCGGTATGTATATTTTTTAGACATAATGCTGTTGCACACTTAACAGCCTACAGTATAGTATAAGCATAACTTTCATATGCTCTAGGAAACTAAAAAAATGTGTGACTAGCTTTATTGCAATATTCCCTTACTGTGGTGGTCTGGAACCTGTTTTGTATCTTTTTGTAAAATGAAGTGACAAATGGGTGGGGTCCCTGGATAGTCATAAGATCAAGGCTGATTGCCAGAGAAACCCCAACCAAGTGAGCAGAGAGCTGAAACTTTCAGCCTCATTTCCCAAGCTCTAGGGAAGGGAGACAGGCTGAATGTTGAGTTGATCACCAATGGCCAATGATGTAATCAGTCGTGCCTACATAATGAAACCTCCATTTAAAAACAAAACAAAACAAAAAACAGAAGGACGGGGTTTGGAGAGATTTCAAAAAGCTGAACAAACACATGAAGGTACCTGGAAGGTGGCACACTGGAGAAGGGATGGAAGCTCTGAGCCCCTTCCCACATCTTGCCCTATGTATATTTTCCATGTGTTGTTCATCAGTATTCTTTGTAACATCCTTTATAATAAATGTTTTTCCCTGAGTTCTGTGAACTACTCTAGCAAATTAATTGAACCCGAGGAGGGACTTGCTGGTCAGTCAAAAGCACAGGTCATCACTGGGGCTTGCAGCTAGTATCTGAAGTGGAGACAGTCTTACAGGTCTCAGCCCTCAATCTGTGGTATGTGACATTATCCCCAGTTTTGAAATGAATTAGAGGACATCTAGATGGTGTTTCCTGGAGATTTGTTTGGTTTGTGGGGAGAAACCCTCACATATCTGGTGTCAGAAGTATACTGAATGGTGTGTGAAATGATAGTCAAAGTTTATAATACTCAATATTCAAGTTGTTCTAATACGTCTAAAGTTATCACTCTTAGAAATGGTTCATAATTAGGCCGGGCGCTGTGGCTCACACCTGTTGGCCGAGGTGGGTGGATCACCTGAGGTCAGGAGTTCAAGACCAGCCTGACCATCATGGTGAAACCCCATCTTTAAAAAAAAAAAAAAAGAAAAAAAGAAAAGAAAAGAAAAAAGAAATGGTTCATAATTAACAGCTAGTATACCGCAGATAGAACTCAAACTTCAGTTTCAATTTTCTTTTTTCCAGAGACAGGGTCTAATTCTGTCACCCATGCTGGAGTGCAGTGGCACACAACCATAGCTTACTGCTGTGTCAACTCCTGTGCTCAAGCATCCTCCCACCTCAGTCTACCTAGAAAGCTGGGACTACAGGTGCATGCCACCATACCTGGCTAATTTTTTTAAGTTTTATTGTAGAGATGGGGTCTCACTATGTTGCCCAGGTTGGTCTTCAACTCCTGTGATCCTCCCACCTCAGCCTCCCAAAGTGCTGACATTACAGGTGTGAACCACTGTTCCTAGCCTAGTTTCAAATTTTGACTGCCACATTTTGGCATGTGACTTTTGGCTAATTACTCAACCTCCCTGAGGCTTTGGTCTCTTCATTTAAAAAACAGTAATAATAAAACTTGGCTGGTATAGACAAGACTTTCATAACAATCCAAGAGAATGAAAATTAAAGTGGCATATTAACTTAGTTGCTTAAAACCAGTAGCTTAGTATATTGCCATCTTCCCCAAAGCATTAGCAGTACATAGCATTTATAATTTTCTTTATTTACCAAATCTTTTCAGGAAACAAGAGGGAAGGTGCACCTAAGCCTTTCATTTATTACCTGAACTGGTCACTCCTTTCACAAATATCTTTTTAAGTGCCTACACTCTGTGCCAGGTACTCACCAAACACTAAGGAAACAATACTCCATAAAATAGCCGTAGTAGGCTCTGAGTTTGCCAGTGTAGAGAAGGATTCAGACCAGCACACAACATTCCCATCATAACATTTTTGTTAAAAGTAAAACAGGCAACCAGTAAATTTTTTCTAGCTTTCTTAGTACATATATATATATATGACAACTCTGTAGAAAAGCTTAAAAGCAAATGGCTTTTCCTTTTGAACCCCTGAAATACATCTCAATGAGCTATCTTTATTCTTTACATCAATACTTCTTTTTGCTTCCATCTCTTTTCATGTTCTTTACCAAATAGCCAAGCATTCCATTCTGACTTTACTTTTATTATAAACACTTATAAGAGTACAACAGTATAACCACACAGTTACAAGCTCTAATCCTAGTTGTCTGTGATTATATGAAAGAGTGAGCAAGGTGAGTAGAGGGCCATTACTACAGAAATCATAGAAACTCAAAAGAGGGAAAAAGGGGGTTTTGTTAACTAGCTGACAGAATAGCTTAACTGATGAATATATAATATAATCTTTTCATGCAGATTTATATATCTGTCAGTTGCCAAGACTTCATTCATTGTCCATAGGCAGTTAAACTAGTATTACTTAATGCCCACATAATCCTAAGTCCAAACATCAGAACCAAAACTTTATGGTAACATTCTTTTGAAAAGATTATCACTCAGCTGATTCAAACTATGCACAAATTTTCGTAAGATTCTAATAAAACATTTAGGACAACATCTAAAAATGTTCCACGAGAACTCACAGACTCCCATGAAAATATCTTTAAACACAGCTGACAAAGAATAGGTTATAAGACTTTTAAATAATCGATATTAGGAGAATATTCTGCCCAAATTTGGCAACTAAATCACTGACGAGGAGCAAAAATGAATGAGATCCAGTCAGCCTATGTAAGGGCTTAAAAGACACAGGGCAGAGGGCTCAGAAAACAAGTTTATCAGCTACCCTGTGGGTTTGGTGTTCATTTCGTTAAGTTCCACAAAGCAATTCAGTGCACATGGTATATAACACAGCTAACCATGGACGATTCCCAGATAGCCCCTTCAAGTTAATGTATTTTAAAAAATAAATAAACAAAAACAAACCTTCCTAAAACACTTTTAATCTTTGGCCATCAAAATCTATTTTTTTTTAATCTGCCAATTTGTACAAGGATAGAAATTCAAAAGTACCCTGCCTCATAGTATTGCTGGATAAAACAAACTACGTAAATAAAATTTTCCTAACAATAATATTCAGATAGTTGGGTCTTTACTAATTAAATCAGCAAAAGAAGAAATGCCAGGAGAAACACACACGCACACACACAAAATATACTTTAAAATGTGTTAAAATCAACACAAAATATTGGTGAAACCCAAAATGTATCTAATATGGCTAGCGATAGCCTTCCTTTTAATAAATTGCTATCTTCTAACACTCCCAGTGATTTGACATACATCCAAAGTTATTTGATGATTCTTAAATCTCATCAAAAGAAATATTTTAGATTTTTCAAACTTTTAGTTATATATGTTTACACACAACATTACAGTCTAATTTCCAAATCAGCAGCTTCCCAAATGTAAATAACAAAGTAAGGTAACATGATGAACTCATATTTTAATTTGCTAAGTAAAAGATAATAATTAACAAGGGAAAATCAGACAACATTTTTAAAAAGTTTAAAAGTTCCTGACATGGAGTATAGTGTTTTAGGCACAAAAAAAATCTGGAAATTTGATTATTAGGAAGATGTAAAAGTATAGTAAGTTATTCACATAATGACTTGGCCCATTTTCAAGGACTTACCTTTTTTTTATCCCTCATTGAGCCTTTGCCTCGGACCATTATTTTACATCCTGTCTCTGCTTCAAGTTGTTTGGCTGTAAGTCCTCTAGGTCCAAGAATTCGCCCAACAAAATTAAACTGAAAAAAAAAAAAAAAAAGTCACCATACATTATTCACTTGTTGGAATTACAGCTCTTAAAATATAAAGTATATCTATATTTACTTACTCAAGTTAAATATCTTTTTAATACTAAGTTGAAATAAAATCTAGAGCCCTTATGAATTTCTTGCTAAGTCTCAGGTCTAATTACAATAGCTCATTGTTTAGCACTACGTTTTCAAATGTATTAATACAAACTATGAATTGGGAACAGTATACAGCTAGAACAGGTAAAACTATCCATCAACATATAACCTAAAACAGAGAATATTAATTAATTTGACAAAATATCAGATGCCAGCCAAGAATACAAGTCCCTTCCACAAAACTCCCAACTGTTTCTTTGTAATGACAGTGTTGAAGAAATTGTTAGCGACTGTCCTTTCTACTGAAATCCTTGGGGGGAAGTCTTCTTTTATTTACCTAAGAAAAGTTACACTTTCTCCAAAGCAACTGTTCAGAGAATTATGTAACTGAAAACTATGGGCAGGCTATGCTAAATGTGTCTTAAAAGTACATATTCCTTTATACCTTTAACTTATAAGAAGCCTAAACTCTGAATATCACTAAATGGGACAGTGACATCAATAATTATATAAATAAAAAATTGTACAATAAATAAAAAAATTACCATCCCTCAACAGAAACTCCTAGTATTCATATATACAAGTTATTTCTTTAAGGCCAATAGGAAGAATAGGATGAATAGTGAACAGTAAATTTTCCTCATTTGTATGTCATCTGCATAAAAGACCAAAATATAAGTGTTTGCCATCAGTTCCACAAAAATTCATGAGTAGTTTTCATTTATTTATTCAATCAAATAGGTACTGACTCTTATGCATATGGTCTCCTACTTTTTTCTTGCATTTATTCAACTGTTAGTACATCATTACTTAAAAGTAACATGCTAGAAAATCCACTGCCATCAGGGCTAAAGAAGCTGGATACTTCTGCAATCTTCTGTACTCCACTGGCTCTACTTTCGCATTGCCACATTTTAGAAAAGTGATTCTCAAATGAAAGGTGGTAGGCAAAATGCCCACATTGTTTGAAGAAAGTCTCTGAGGGGATTTTCATACAACTTCTTTCACCCTGTGTTGAGACTCACAGACTGATCTATAAGCACTTAATTTAGCTCTTCAGGATCCTAGATTCTGAAATTTGTCCATAATACCTCTTTATGTTCAAATAAAGCCCCTCATCTTTGCCCAGTGCTTCAGTATATAGTAACTTTACCTCTTTACCCTACTAAACCCCCACCATGATCCACTTTAACAAAGTACTTTGAATTTAGAAACTCATCAACTTAAACTTCCCACATCCCCAATTTAAATAAACTCAAGTAGTATACTATGATTATGTGCTTAAACTCTGAAAGCACATAGATTCTAGCTGGTATTCAAGCTTAAATATGAAGACAGTAATAAGGAATCTGAAAACCGGCTGGCTCGATGGCTGTAATACTAATTCTTTGGGAGGCTGAGGTGGGTGGATCATTTGAGATCAGGCATTCAAGACCAGCCTGGCCAACATGAGGAAACCCCATCTCTACTAAAGCTACAAAAATTAGCCAGGCTTGGTGGTGCATACCTGTAATTCCAGCTACCTGGGTGGCTGAGGCATGAGAATTGTCTGAACCCAGGAGGTGGAAGTTGCAGTGAGCTGAGATCACGCCACTGCACTCCAGCCTGAACAACAGAGCAAGACTGTGTCCAAAAAAAAAAAAAAAAAAAAGGAATCTGAAAATCAAATCAAATCAGCCTCAATTACAGAATGGGGATAATAGTATCTGATAGAGCTACAATAATTTGCATCTGCAGATATATATGCGTATAGCACAATACATATACAAGGTCCAGTGAAAAGTCTGCCATAGTAGATAAGAGCCTACCTTTTTTAAAAAAACACCTCAGGCTCTTACTCTGAATAAAGCTTGGAATGTCATTTCTAGAAGATGTGATCAGTAGCAAATTTGCCCTACAGATCTCCAGAGAGACTTGATGTACAGACATTAAGTTTTGCAGAAAACAAGAATAAAAAGGTGGAAATAATACATAAAACAACTGATCATCACTGCCCACAGAACACCAAGAGCCAGGCATCTGACTTGTAGGTAATGGGCTAGTTTTTTTCTCCAGAAAAACTGAACTACTCCAGAGAAAATTCTGTGTTCCATTATATGATTTCCACTTCAAAGACTGGTGCTTTAGGTGGTCACCCCAAATTAAGGTTGGCAGTGGAAGAGCATATCTATTCATGAACACAAGCTCCTAATTTACAATTTTCATTGACGTTCACTACAGATTCAGGAAAGGCTCTATCATTACAGACAGGACAAAATAAGGAAGCAGGACAAGACCGACACTTGAGAAAAAAAGACTGCAGGGCAAAAAAGATGATTTTAAAAAAAGTCTTTAGTATGTAGTACTAAATGATTTTCTAAAATGGTTGTACATATTTTTATCCCCAGCATAGTAGTATATATTTATATAAAAATTTCTTTGGGCCCACTTCCTCTCCAATATTTATTATCAGTGTTTTTATATTTTAACCATTTTAGTCTATATATTAAATGTTTCCATTAGCATTTCTCTGATTACTAATAAAGCTGAGCATTTTTTCAGGTTTACTGGCCATTTGGATATGCATTTTTTCAAGGACACTTGAAGTTTCCTATATTTTTCCTATTGTGTTATCTTTTCCTTATTGATTTCTACTTTGTGGTTACATAACTGGCAAGTATTTTTCCCATCCTGTGGCTTGTCTTCTCCCCTTTTAACGGATTCTTATGATAACTGAAAGTTTTTTATTTTAATGTAGTTCAAATTTTCAGTATTATCTTCAAGGCTAGTGTTTTCTGCGTCCTGTTTAAAAAAGTCTCTGCCAACCACAAGGTCACCAAGATATCCTCTGGTGTTATCTTTTACAAGCTTTATTGTTAAGTTTTTCACATTTACATCTACAGTATACCAGGAATTGATGTCTATGGATAATTTTCTTTTTCTCTCACATGAATATCCAAATGTTATTGAAAAGATTGTCCTTTTCCAATTGTTCTGCAGTGGTATCACTGTCATAAATACTTATCTATACAATCACCACTCAGTTTCTGGGGAGAGCGGGGGGACTGGTTCCAGGTCCCCACACAAATACCAGAATCCACAGATGCTTAAGTCCCTTATATAAAATGGTGTCATATCTGCACATAACCTATGAACAACTTCCAATATAATTTATATCATCTTCAGATTACTTCAAATATCTAATACAATGTAAATACTATGTAAATCACTGTTATGCTGTATTGCTTAGGAAATAATGATCAAGAAAAAAATTGTATATTTCAGTACAAACGCAGCCATTTGAGTTTCTTCCCCTAAATATTTCTTTAATCCAGATTTTATATTCCTTCATAAGTCAATTTTTAAGTTGTGTCCGTTTTGTCTAAATTTTCAAATTTGTTAAAGTATATGTCTAATTTTATTTTTAATACCTGTAAGATCTGAAACGATGTCTCATTTTTTAATTCTTGACTGGCTACCTGTATCTTCCTGTTTCTTGATTAGCCTTCACAAGTGTTTTAAAAGAACCTGCTTTTGTTGACTGAGGCAGACTGATTTCAAAAATGGTCACAATTCTTTGCCCCTCACTTTGTCCATGCCATCTGCAAAGGGAATCTGTACCTCCTCCCATCTCCTGAATCTAGGCTAGCATTTTGGCTTGCTTTGGCCAACACAATGGAGAGGTAAGAATGATATGCCCACGTGTCAGTCTTCTGTGGTTCTACTCTTATTCTGTTAGAGCCCTTTTCCCCCATGTAAACAAGCTTCGACTAACTTGTTGGGGAATGAAACATAGTGAGCCAGTCATCAACAATGCCTGCAACCAGGTAACTCCCAGAAACAGAACCACCTAGCTGACCCTACAGCTGACTGGAAGAAGGACTCAGGAACTCAGTAAGTAGTTTACTTAAGTTTTAAGTTTTTGGAGTAATTTATTATATTGTAGCTATAGCTAGCTAATATATTGAATGATTTCATTTTGTGTTTGTCTTTAATCGATTTCTACTGTTCATTTAATTATTTCCTTCCTTCTACTTCCTTTGTTTAATCTGCTTTTCTTTTTCCAATTCTTTGAAATGAGTATTTTGCCTACTGGTATTCCTTCTTTCCTAACATATATATCTAAAATTTTACATATACCTCTAAACTGGCTTTAGTTGTATCCCACAAAATCAAGGTAACTTGAAATCTACTAAAGATTTAAATATATATTATTCTGATTTCAACATATAATTCCTAGTTATATTTAGTTTTGATTTCTAGCTTCCTACAGTGTAACTGGCAAATGTATTATGTATAATAGCCATCCTTTAATATTTGTTCAGGCTTGCTTTTCAGCATAGTATATAGTCAATTTTTGTAAATATTCCATAAGTGCTTAAAAAGAATGCAAAGTCGGGTGTGATTAAATTTTATCTGTTTTTCCTTTAACTTCTATTTTTGCTGTATTTGTTTAAAGGCTGTTATAACCAACCCTTAAACAGAGATCTGAACTATGTGGGTCTGCTTATACACAGATTTTCTTTCCATAAATATTACACCAAGTATGACACCCCTCCCACCTTCATCACCTCTTCTGCCTCTGCCACCCATGAGATAGAAGACCCAACCATCTTCCTCAGCCTATTCAATGTAAAGACCACCAAGATGAAGACCTTTATGGTGATCTACTTTCACTTAATGAATAAATATATATTTTTCTTTCTTATGACTTCTTAAAAACGTTTTTCCTATGGCTTATTTTATTCTAAGAATAGAGTGTGACATACAAAGTGTGTTGGCAGACTGGGATTTATGTTATTGGTAAGGCTTCCAGTCAACAGTAAGCTATCGGTGGTTAATTTCGGAGGTAGTTAAAAGTTGTACGTGGATTTCTGACTGTAAAGGGGGTCAGTGCCTCTTACCCCTATGTTGTTGAAGGACCAACTGTGTATCTTTCTGTCATTGTGACATGGCCTTCTTTATCTCTAGTGATGTCTTTTGCCATTAAGCTTACACTGATACTAATAAATATACAATTTTTTATTAACTTTTCATGTCTTTTCTTGATACCATTACTTTCAAACTTTTGTTATTCTTATATTTAAAACAGGACTCCTATAAAAATCATATAAATGATTCTTCATTGAACTTAAAAATGTTTTATTTTTAAAGGGTACCTTAAAGATTCTTTATATACTGTCTCTACCAGATTCCACTGTTACTAATAGAAGTGTACTGAGCTTTCCCATTACTCCTTTGAAAGTGATCTTTTTCTCTTCTAGCTGCTTTAAGATTTCCTCTTCATCATTAATTTTCAGTAGTTTTACTATGATATGCCAAGGTGTGGTTTCCTTTATCATGTTTATCAGTAAGTATGATAAATATAAAGAAAACCAGTTTCATATATCTGTGACTTTATTTCTTTCTTTGGTTTTATAGCTCTGAAACATGCTTTCTTCAAACTTGCTTCTGTCCCATTCCATTCCTCTTCTTCTAATACAATTACATATATTAAATTTTCTCACTATATTCCTTTTACTTTTCACACTCCCTTCTACTTTTTTCCATCTCCCTGCATCTCAACACTGAGCTATGTTCCAAGTTCACCAATTCTCTGTTCAAATGCTTCTAATCTTTGTTAAACAAACCTGTTGTATTAATAGTAGTCGGTAAATAATTTTCTGGTTTTTCTTTTATAGCTTCCAATTCTCTTCTTTTTCTTCTGTCTCCTCCCACACTGAAAACTTACAGCTTTTATAAAAGTCTGCGTCTGAAATTCTAAAATCTACAGTCTCATTGTATTTGTTTCTATTGTTTTTCAGATTGTTTCTTCAGATTTTTGTTAATGTCATCTGATCTCCTTGTGTGCTTGCTAATTTTCTAGTGTGTGCCAGACAATACACTTATTTATAAACAGCTTATAAAAATAAGGCCAAAGACAATGATATCCTCCTCCAGAGAAGATACGTATTAGCTTCTGCCAGGCATCTACTATTACTAGCAACCCAGGATCAATGCAATTTCATTTACTGAGATAAACCATTTTGAGCTGAGATACAGTCTCTGTGAGGACCTGCAACCTCCTGGTTCATTCTTACTCCTAAAGTACATACCCATCTGTGTCCCTATCCCCAAACAAAGACTAGGTTGGGCATGGCAAGGGAGGTTCACAGAGACAAATTATATAGACTCTAAACCCAGTCCCCCAAAGCTCAGTTTTTCTTTCATCTGCCCTCTCCAGATTCTGCAAACATACTCAACAGAAAAAGAGATCCCCCAAAACAATATCCTTGTCATCTCACCTCCTGAAGATCCTGAACTAGTAATTCTTCACAATCCTGCTGGGTCTCTGATGTGTTCAGCTGTTTTCTTCCTATTTTATCCTATTTTACTAGAATTGCTCAGCTAGTCTGCATTACCTTGTCAGTCCTTAACAAACACACGTCTACTGGCACTTTTTGAGCAGTTGCTTTTTAATCTAAAGAGGTCTAGAACTGACATAAGGTAGTATGGTGTAACAATGTGTTGAAATGAGGATCTGAAGGAAAGAAAAAAACAGAAAATCTATCAACATGCCTGGCCTCATGTTCATCTCCAATAAGCTCTTCCTACTTTTCTACATCACCACTTAACCAGTTTATATACATCACAGATTACATTAAGTTTCACTTCCCTGCTCCTCCAAACAACCTGGACAACCTTCACATCCTATTACTCACCCACTTTGTTTTTCAGTAAAATAGAGAACAGCCTTTCATTTTCAAATTCAATTCAATAAAACATTTATTTAGGGCTTATTATGTGGCAAGGAGTGAAGTAAATGTAAAGGACTGAAAATAAAGAAACTCTGCTCTCAAGAAGTCTGTGAAAATGTCTCTACTATATTTGTTACCTTGGCTATTTCTTTAGATAAGTAACCTTGCCAGCTACTCTTCAGTAATACTTGTACTCTATACAGATCTTTTTGCAAATTGTCACATACTTGATATGCATTACATAGTTCACATATGGCCCAAAAATGTCTGGAAAATGCATTAGGAGACACTTGAGTACAAATAACTAATATGTAATTGGTTTTGACCCATACCCTTTGTGAAACCACCTGTCCTACACTTTGTGACCACCTACAGAGCCCTGTTTGGCGTACCCTATCCTTTTCATGTGTTAAACCTCCTTGGCTGGAACCACATCAAGATACATAGAAAAGGGCTTCTACCACAGCTAATTAATCCTCATACTTATTATTTACTAAATTAAAAATGTTTGTAAAACAGTTAAAATCACAGCATTAAATCTGTGACACAAAATTTTACTAACCTTAAAAATGAAACAATCACTATTGCCCCAAGAACCCACAAACAGAAACTGTCAAGGTCATCCTTCCCAAAATGTTTTAAGTAGAGAATGGGAAAAAAAAAAAAACTAATCATAGCAGCTGCTTTGTCTACTGCAACCAATTTCCAAGTTAATATCGTTTGCCTTGCATTAAAATTCATTCTGTGTTGATTTATCACACCAGTTCTGCAGCTTCATTCAATTAAAACAATGTCACAACACTTTCAAAGAAAATCATTTCAACAGCTTGAGCTAAGTGCAACTTTAAAGGCCAAAAGAAGTAAGAGAAAAAGGCGAAAAAAAGATATTCATTAACCCTACTGCTTAAATACAGACCTTCTCTGTGGCTCACCAATTATATTTCCGCCAAGTGGCATGTGAATTTACAAAGAAGAGGTTTAACAACAATTATGTCTAATGCTATTCATTGCTGCTCACTTCACTTTAAATGGAAATGATAGATTTTTCCCAATGACAAAATGTAAAGCATTACAGAAAACCCTTCCATTAACCTTTTTAAAATTCTATAATTAAAGATAACCTCCTGTAACACATTATCAAAATAGATAAGTAATAAAAAATGGATTTCTGAAAGCATATCAAATGAAACACTTCTAAGACTTATAAAGTATAATCTCTGTCTAAAATTTGGGGGGAGGGGGAGACCAAGATTTCATTTAAAAATGTACTTTTTTGGATTGCTTTCTGCACAAGAGATTGATAAATCTGTTTTCAAATATTGTGTCTAGTTATTTCTAGGGTGATTTTACAAGATGCCTTACAAATCTTCCATTGTTTCATATAAACAACATAGTGGGTATGAAACACATACATTCAGAGAAGCACACACATATGTGTATTTGTTAAAGTCTTTCACTTAGCAAAAGACAAAAAACGGACCACATCCAATCTAGTCAACATTAGTGGGCCTATCTTATACAAGTATATGAGAGAAGAATGTGACTATTAGCAACACAACTGTTTTTAATTAAAAATACAGAATGAATACGGATGCTCCTCAACTTACAATAGAGTTAAGTCACAATAAACCCACCATTAAGTTTAAAGTTCAATTTTAAATGTATGATTTTTTCAACTCCAGTGGTGTTATCTGGAGATGGCCCCATCGTAAGTTGAGAAGCATACTGAATACATATCACTTTTAAACCTGTAAACAATCCTAAGTCAGACCATTTTAAGTTGGGGACTACATATCAAAATATCTGTGTTTTGGGGTAAAACAAGCATCGTATGCCTTGCTACCTTCGCATTAATTCTTATAAATTAGTAAGTGGCCAAATATATCTCCTGGAGAAATAGCTAATTTATGAGAAATAATTAACATTACAGGAACCATTTGGCAAAACTTTTCACATATTAGGCCTTTATAAACATTTTGGTTCAGGGCACGCATGGCACATGTTACGTACAAGTACTGTTTAAGAAAAGGCTTCTTACAAGGCTGTGTAAAAACAAATAAAAATTTAAAACTGCATGTTTCCCTGCTGAAATAGAAAGTAGAAATAATAATTGTTTTGTTTTTTATTACTTTGTCCTTTGGGATTTATCCTGGGAACAGCCCATCAGGTTTATTATTTGAGAAATTTCTAAGCTGTGTGAGTTCCGGTGCTGCATATAACTTAAGAATTCAGTGACTGAATTCCTCCCTCCAGCTTTACTGAGATATAATGAACAAGGTTTAACTTGTGATGATTTAATATAGGTATACATTGTGAAATAGTTACCACAATCAAGCTAATTAACATATCTATCACTCCACACAGCTACTGCATGCGTGTATAAGTATGGTGAGAATACTCAGTCATGCTAAGCACCTTTTCATAAGCCTTTTGGAAATTTGTATAATTCTTCTGAAAAAAATGTCTACTCAAGTTATTTGCCTATTTTTAAAGCAGGTTATTTGAATTTTTTGCTGTTTCATTGTTTTGAGCTGAGTTGTTAATATTCTATCTTTTTGGATATTAAACACTTACCAGATACAAGGTTTGCAGGTATTTCCTTCCATTCTATAAGCTGCCTTTTCATTTTGTTAACTGTTTCTTTGCTGTGCACAAACAAGTTTCTTTGCCGTGCAGGACTACTTGATATAGTCCCGTTTATTTATTTTTGCTTTTGTTGCTTGTGTTTTTTGGGTGTAATATCTACAAAAATCATAACCAAAACCAAACACTCTTTTAATTCAGTGTTTTTTCCTACATGTTTTGCCATTTCAGGGAATTCATTTAAGTCTTTAATCCACTCTTGATTGTATTTTTATGTATGGTGTAAGATAAAGGTCCACTTTCATCTTTGGAATGTGAATATCCAGTTTTCCCAGCACCAACTATTGAAGAAACGATTCGTGCTCCATTGTGTAGTCCTGGTACCCTTGTCAAAGGTTAGTTGACCCTATGTTCTTAAGTTTATTTCTGAGATTCTGTTCTATTTTATTGGTCTATGTGTCTGTTTTTATGCCAGTGGCAAATTGTTTTGATTAATATAATTTGAAATCAGGAACCGCAATGCCTTCAGCTTTGTCCTTTCTCAAGATGGTTTTGGCTATTAGATGTTTTTCATAGTTCCACATGAATTTTAGGATTGTTTTTTCCTATTTCTATGAAAAATGCCACTGGAATTTGGATAGGGATTGTACTGAATCTATAGATTGCTTTGGGAAGTATGGAAATTTTAACAATAGTCTTCTAATCCATGAACATAGAATATTTTTCCATTTATTTGCATCTTTAATTTCTTTGATTAATGTTACAGTTTTCAGGGAGCAGATATCTTTTACCTCCTTGATGTTATTTATAACTATATTTTTCTTTCTGATGTGACTGTAAATGAAATTGCCTCTTAATTCTTTTTTTTTTCTGAGACGGAGTTTTACTCTTGTCGCCCAGGCTGGAGTGCAGTGGCACAACCTCAAGAGGCTCACTGCAACCTCCCCATCTCGGGTTCAAGCAATTCTCCTGCCTCAGCCTTCCAAATATCTGGGACTACAGGCACGCAACACCATGCCTGGCTGATTTTTCTGGTGTTTTTAGTAGAGACGGGAGTTTCATCATGTTGGCCAGGCTGGTCTTCAACCCCTGAACTTAGGTGGTCCGCCCACCTTGGCCTCCCAAAGTACAGGTGTGAGCCACCACACCTAGCCTCTTAATTTTTTGAATAGTTCAAGTGTATAGACAGAAAACTGATTTTTGTATCCCAGAACTTTACTGAATGAACAGATTTTTTGATAGAGTCGGGTTTTTCTATATGCAAGATTATGCCATTGCAAACAGAGATAATTTTACTTCTTCCTTTATGATTTAGATGTCCTTTACTTTTCTTTACCTTTTTTTTTTTTTTTTTTTTTTTTTTGAGATAGTCTTGTTCTGTTGCCCAGGCTGTAGTGCAATGGCACAATTTCAGCTCACTGCGACCTCCACTTCTTGGGCTCAAGCGATTCTTCTGCCTCAGCCTCCTGAGTAGCTGGGATTTCAGGCATGCATCACCATGCCTGGCTAATTTTTGTATTATTTTTAGTACAGATGGGGTTTCATGTTGGCCAGACTGGTCTCAAACTCTTGACCTCAAGTGATCCACCCACCTCAGCCTCCCATAGTGCTGGAAATAAGAGGCATGAACCACCACTCCAGGCCGCCTTTATCTCTTTTTCTTGGCCTAAATGCTCTGGCTAGAAATTACTATACTGAATGGAAGTGGGAAGGGTGGGCATCCATGTCTTGTTCCTCATCCTAGAGGAAAAGCTTAGCTTTTCACCATAAAGTATGATGTTAGTTGTTGGCTGTCACACATGGCCTTTATTGTGTTGACACATATTGCTTCTACACCCTACTTATTGAGAGATTTTATGGTGAAAGGATGTTACATTTTCTCAAATGCCTTTTTCTCCATCTTTTGAGATGATCTTATGGTTTTTAATCTTTCATTCTGTTAATTTAGTATAGCTCAGTTAATGATTTCCATATGTTGAACCACTTTTATATTCAAGGGAAAAATCTCACTTGATCATGGTGTATGCTCCTTTTAATATGGTGTTCAATTCAGTTTCCTAGTATTTTGTTGAGGATTTTTGCATCTGTTCATCAAAGATATTGGCCTGTAACTTTATTTTCTTATAATGTCTTGATCTGGTTTTGGTACAGGGTAATGCTGGCCTCATAAAATGAATGTGGGGAGTGTTCTCTCCTGCTCAGTTTTTTGGAAGTTTGAGAAGGGTTGGTGGTAATTAGTCTTTAAATGTTTGGAGGAATTTGCCAGTGAAGCCATCTTGCTTGCGGGCTTTCACTTGTTGCAGGGTTTTTGCTTAATAATTCGATCTTCTTACTCATTATGAGTCTGTTCAGATTTTCTGTTCCTTCATGATGTGGTCCTGATAGGTTGTATGTTTTAGGAATTTATCCATTTCTTCTAGTTTTTAGTTCTTTTAGTTCTTCAATTTTTTGGTATATATTTACTCATAGTCTTGTATGATCTTATTATTTCTATGGTATCAGTTGTAATGTATCTTCTTTCATTTATTTTGACTTCTTTTTCCTCTTGGTCAGTCCAGCTAAAGGTTTGTCAATTTTGTTTAACTTTTCAAAAACCAACTCTTAGTTTTGTTGACCTTTGCTGCTGTATTCCTGGCCTCTATTTCATTTATTTCTGCTCTAATCTTTATTATTTCATTCTTTCTGTTTAAGCCTCTGGCACCTAGTATTTCCAGGTAGCTTCCCACCCATTAAAAAAAAAAAAAAATCCCAGGAAATTTTTACTATAAGAATGAAAAATCATTATACAATTTCACTACACAGTTTCTTCTATGGGCTATATATTGTGCAAGGCATCATAGATTTATTTAAAAAAAAACAACAACAACAAAAAACCTAAGAGTGAGTTCCTGATTTCACGGCATGACCTGTAAGACACAGGCAGATCACTGCATACCCTGTGATAAGAGCTTAACAGCTGGATGGTACAAAGTGCTCTAAGACGGGAATCAACTGTTTATAGGAGTCAAAGCACAGAGAGATAGCAAAAGGAACACTTGAGCTCAACATTGTGGGATGGGGGGAGATGGGCATGTTTGGTGGAAAGGAAGAAACAAGAAAGAGGTGTTACAGGGAAGAAAAATTAGAGTTACCTGCCATTTTTACAGAAGAGTGGATTGCTTAGGTGGCTGGAACACATGGGTAACAGCAAAAATAAAGGCCTGAAAAGTAGTCTGGGATCTTTTAAAAGGCCTTGTGCATATGGTATTGGACCTTATGTTCTCACAAATAGTCTTCTGCTCTTGCCATAAAACTCTTGCTGAATTTTATTGCATTCATATTTTTATTAACTGGTTAATCTTTTGTTTTTCTAATTGTTACTTAGCATCTGGAGTGATAATAATCTATCTTTTTCACCTGAATTTGTTTTGAATAGTTTTGGTTTATTGTCCAGTTATATCTGTACGCAAAGAATGATTCACCATAATTTAGGATATCCCAATTCACATACGACAGATTTCAAATTTTGGTTATAACTAGTTATTAATTTTCCCTTTTGCTGGTAGTATCAAATGGAAATATCATGAGTGCAAGGACTATGTCATTCAATATTTCTTAGGTGTTGAGTATGCTGCAGTATGTTTTGAGGGTTCAAGTCACTTAATCCACAAACCAACACTGCACAATGCTTATCACTACCACCTACATCTAACACATGAAAGGTTACAACAGTAGTCCAAATCTTAGAGCACCTAGATTGATTCTAGAGTTCGGACGCTTCTTAATACAGTATAATGCCTTTCTTCTAAAAACCTTAAACACATACCCTGATAACAAAAATTCATGCTTAGTTCTCTCATTACTGTTAATCTTTCAAAATGTTCAGTACTCAATTTATAAAAGCTCTATTCAAATCCCATTTACTTTCAGAATTAGTCCAGTGTGTTTTTATAATTTCTTCCCCACCTACATACATCCCAAACGTATCATTACTACACCATCTTAGATAATCACATCTTGCTTTCTCAATATTATCATATCTTTTACTGATCGTCACCACTTTAACAATCATCACATGCATCTCTATTCTCAATGAATGGAAACAACAGCAAGGCCCTTCCCTCATTCTTAGCCTTCATATGTAAAAGATAAAGAAATCTGAACATTCTCCCTATTTAATCTGTTCTCTTCATTTCAACTGCCACTGCCCGAGTTCAAGCTCTCATTGTTCCATACCTGGACTGTGGCTATTATCAGTACCATGAGAGCAATTATGTCTTTTCATATTCCTGTGCCCTGTTACCTAGCACAGATCATATACAAACATTTCTAGGATAAAGACATGATAATAAAATGTTGCTGTTTTATATTCAGATGTCCTTTTTAATGTTCAAGTTCTAATTATTTTTCAAATTTTAAGAGGTTTATTTTAATCTGTCCTTAGCATGGCAAATTTATACTATTTATGTACAATCTTACAAGTACAAAGGAAAGAAACTAATCAAAACAATCATTGTTCTGTAACCCCAAACAATACAGCATAGATAAGTTTTCAAGGTCAATCAATTCCCTACCAAATAATAAAGAAAATATTATATCAATGTGAAACAAAGAGATGTTCAAGTTTATGATAGGTAGGCTGCTTATTGATGACACTGATTTTAGACTTGAGAAAATCAGTGTTCTATGGTAGACAAAACAAGATTACCAGAAATCCCCAATTTATTTGTGAGCTACCTTGTTCTAAATGGCTGGGTTTATTAAGACATAAAATATGTTTTCTGGCTGGGTGCAATGGCTCCCACCTGTAATCCCAGCACTTTGGGAGGCTGAGGCAGGAATACTGCTTGAGCCCAGGAGTTCAAGACCAGCCTGCCTGGGCAACACAGCGAGACCTTGTCTCTAAGATAAAACAAAACAAAAAATATTTAAATATAAATGTATTTTTTCCCAATGAAATGATTAACTGAATATAGCTCAAAGCTAGTAGCTGAAAAGCTCAATCTCAACATCCCTAAAGTAAAGGCAAGTTATCTCAAAAACTAAGGTAGTTTTCTGCCCAAATTGAAATTAAAAAAAACATAAATAGTCTCATTAACTTGCAAAATAAATTTAGGTCACCTACTTATAAACAGGAACTGAAATGAGTGGAAGAGTTCAAGCAGTATAAGCTTTGTTTCGTAGCCCATTTCATGTGCCAATTTTGAGGAGTTAGGATGAGAAACGTTCTTTTACTCAGCTCTAGGAGACAGTGCTCTCTCAAACTGGGCTGAAAGTAGATCATCACCTTGAGCTTTCCTTTAATCTTTTATCAGAAACAGCTCAATGTTCCTGGAATATAGATACACTGAGAAGCAGATTTCTCCTTGATTCCTATATTATATTCCTTTGGCTATTTCAGCAAGAATCTTAAGAGATACAGAGACTGAATACCTATGAGTAGATATCCAATTATCCACAGTGCTTTGTAGCAATAATTTTAACAGAGTAAAAACTCTTCTTTAGATAAATCATAGACAAACGTTTCTGTCTAAACTGAATAATTCTTCCCTAACAACCCCATCTTTTCTTTTGTTCTTCTAGTTCCTTTCAAATATTAAAACATATTATTTACAAAATAAAGTGCCTACATTTTTAAAACTCAGAGAAGCCTTATTTAAAGGTATGTTAAACTTTGGAAGAATCTCAGCTAAACAAAATGTATTGTTTTCATACTGTCTTATAATCCTTTCTGGAATTATTTACTAATATCCTAAGAAATTTAGTATATCGCAAACCATAAAAAAACTATGAAGTATTTTGTACACAACAGATAAAACCTTACAGAGTGAAATATACCCTTGTAGAGTGAAATAAAGAGGAAACGTAAAAAGAAAAGCCATAAACTTTTACTCAACCAATCTAGTTGAAGTTATACATCAAGTTTCCCTACCTAAAACTTAAAGATATGTTCTGTTATCAAATCACACTGCTATATTAAAACTTTAATAAGTTAATATGTAATCTGAATCATTTCACAACTCCACTGAATAAAAACATATACTAACCTTATGAGAAAAAGTGCCTTTAGATTCCTGTACAAACTATCAAAGAAGAAAGATACGATCTTATTTTTAAAGCATTATTGCTTTCCACTCATAAAATTAAGATCACATTCAGGCAAAAATCAAGTGTTAACCTGGGTACTGAAAAAGGAGACTTTGAATTTGAATATCATTAAATTTTGATTTAATATCATTTGTTATTCAGAAGAACAAAAGTGAAAGCAGTGTATATTAAGACTCCTGAGGTTCTTGATTAATCCTTCAACACAGTAAGAAAGCCACACTGGTCAAAGAAACAAAGATTTTATTTAAAGAAAGATAACTTACTACATTGACCCCTCTCTCCCCATCATCCCTCCAAAACAAATGCCAGCTCAACAGCCAATCTGACACCGATTTCTCAAGACTAATGACAAATAACAACCCTATACTAACTCAGGAGCTATGACTAGCCTAAGTTGATTTGCAAACCCAGGAAAATGAAACAGAAAGACAACTTACAACTCATGTTCCATCATCAACATAGGTTATTATTATAAGAGAGACAGCAGAGTGCACCATGAATAATATTATGAATCTATAAACTACTGACTACAGCAACCAGGCTGGGATCCTACAGGTTGAAAACACAATCCTTGGAAAGACATTTGTCTATCTTACAAAACCTTTGACAATATGGGTATTCACAATGGCCTAGACCCAAGGGATGCCTTTCAAAGCTATTATTCAAAATTAAAGCCCCTTTTAAAAATATTAGAAAATCAGAATTATATTCACACAAAACTCCAAAATGTTTCACTACAATTTAATCATCATATCTAAAGGAAGAGTTTACCAACCCAATCTGTTTATGTGTTTAACAGGACAACTAATATCACCAACAGCTAGATCTTGCCAATATTTAGCAAGTCTACTACTCTGGCAGATCCTATAGAACAATCTCTAACAACTTAAAATTGATAACTAGGCAAACTGAATGACTAAATTATTACTGACTCATTCAAAATATAACAATTTTACTTAGTTAACTCTATTCATATATCATTTATAACATCTCCATGGATTCAAGCAAGTCCTTAAAAACTTGACCAGCTGAATAAACCGTTTGATGGTCTAAACATAACTTCAATATTTTTTCATGTCTGTAGTTTTATGAATGCATGAGAAGCTTAAACTCTTAAATAATTTAATCTTTTATCTTTCATACAAGACTGAACTCCTTCAAAACAGGATTATTTTTCTTATGCGTAATCACAAAAACCATATTGAGTGCCTGCCTCTATCAGGTGTCACACATTTGTTGCCTTTACTTCTCCAAACAATCCTATGAAGTAAACCTTATAACTTCATAGACAACAGATTCTAAAAAGCAGACATATACTCAAAGCCAATATGATCATATCAAGTTATTTTTCAGCAAACACTTATTTGAATTCCCTTCTCATTGTAAATGAAGTGACTTAATATCACTAATGCAGGGTTTCTCAACCTCAGCACTACTGACATTTAAGGCCAGATAATTCTTTGTTGGGTAGCTGGAAGGGCACAGGTGTTGACTATCCTGTGCACTGTAGAATGTTTAACAATATCTCTGGACTCTACCCAATAGATGCTGATAGTACCCCCTCCCAAGTTTAAACACCAAAAATACCCCTAGCCATTGCCAAACATCCCCAGCGGTAAAACTGTCACCAGCTGAGAATCACTGGACTAATGAAAAAGAACAAGAGCAGAGGTCAGAGGTCTTACACATGCTTATACTATTTGGCTTGAATCTAGCATTTCAGTGACCTGCAATAAGAGCGTGCCCTAGCAGCCACAACCCCCTTTACCCTGGGCCCAGCAGGAACATAAATGGGAGAAGATCTAAACCCCTCCACAGCTAGCCTCAATCAGGCTAGACTCTGCCTTAATCAGCAGATCCTCAGCCAACATACAGACCCCTGAGCACAGAAATAAATGCCTATTATTTTAAGTCACCAAGTTTTAGAGTGTTTTATCATGGAGCATTATTGTGGCAATTTTTGACAAATACAGCCAAAAACTGGATAAGCTAAAATTCCAAACCTAGGCCTAACTGACTCAAAAACCTACTGACTTGATTATATCAAAGAGTTATTTCAAATGAATTAAATATTCTTACCCAGGATGTGCTTGGTACACAGTAAATGCAATAGATGTCTGCTTTATTAATAAATATCAATTCTGTAAAAAGTTTAATACATTTTCAATGGCCTGTTCATATTAGCTTCTCATTCTCACATCATTAGGCCAAACTTCAAAAAGTTGGAAAGGGCACTACAGCACTGCTTCATTTCTCAGACCTCGCATTTAAGACTGTCTTCTCCTATTAGTTTCAGAGTGCTGCACAGCTAAGTCCAAAACACTACCTCTAACACTGACTTCCGTAAGTAAGGCGCTATGTGCAAATGCAAAAGACAAGTTTAAAGAAAAAAAAAATTTAACAACATTTGAAAGAATGAGTTTCATACAAACATGCACAACAAATACTTACTGCGCATATACTATTTACCAGACGCTATTCTAAGCACTGGAAATACAGCACTGAAAGACAAAAAGATTCCTGCCCTCATAGAGCTTACACTCTTGTAACACACAGCATAAAAACCTTTTCCAACTGCTTCACTCATATTTACTCTTTAGTCCTCATAATCTTGGGAGAGGTTTAATATCTCCATTACAGAAATGAGAAAACTAATAACAAGGAATGAAAAGTAATTTGTTTAAAGTCACAAAACTACATCACTTCCCAGCCTTTTTGGTTAAGATCAAGATGTAGTACCAAAGTCACAAAACAAGCAGCAAAACTAGCTAGAAGTCTCAATCTGAGTTCCTACTTTTGACCACAGCATGATACTGCCCCTCTGCTAACTCTCTAACCTCACATCTTACAACACTTCCCAAGCATGTTTCTGCTTGAGTCAGCTGTACTTACTGTTCACTCTGCCTGGAATGTTTTTCTCTCAAATGGTTTTCATGCCTTCCTCCCATCATTTTGTTCCTGTCTCTCCATTCCCATCATATTAGAAGAGATTTCTTTCCTGATTACCCTTAAAAATGAATACCTCCCTCCATGCACAGTCACTACTCATCTGTCTACCCCACTTTATGTTTCTCCATAAAACTGATTACAGCTATAGATTCATTTCTTGTTTGTTTTTGCCACTGAAATGTCCACTCCACGAGACCAGTGACATCGTTTAGTTCATCACTTTACCATGTTTAAGGCCTCCTGAAACGATACCTGGCAAAATGACCAGGTACATGACCACCTACCTGTTAGCCTGGCTGACCCTGCCCCCGCTTAGAAACAGAAAGTTTGTAAAGGAATGATTCTCATACTTCAGCATCCACTGGAATTATGTACAGGGCTTAACAGTCAGATTGCTAGGCCTCACCCTTACCCCTAAGTTTCTGATTCAGTAAGTATGGAAAGGGGCTTGAACATTTACAGTTCCCAATACTAGGGTCCAAGGAGTGTGTTTTGAGAGTCACTGATCAAAACAAATGTCATGCTCCAACACACCTGTCAGCAACAGTAGTTCACCATGGCAAGAAGTCACAAAAGTGGAGGAGGAAGGAAAGGATTATAGTGAACAGGTACCCTCTAGACTCAAGTCCTGACTTGGAAGCCTGTATGAAACACATGTCTTTTAAAGAATGCATAAATATCTCTTCCTTGAATAGGATTTCTTCTTTTAAGAAGAGATGGAACCAGACAGGTTAACATTATATTCTCTATCACAGCCTTATGGTCTTGCCTATTCTATGTTAATGCTCACTGCTGAAACATCATCCCCTAAGGTTTAAATAAACAAAACAGACAGTTGATATCATTTTGGGATAGTGAAAAACCTAACAGCAGTAGGCCCTAATTGGAACAAATCACAATTTCACATCTCTAGAAATAATCCTAATACCTAGGGTAGGCTCAGTGGTCATGTCTAGGTAATGGTAGGTAACCTCACTTCCCTAGTCAGAAAGGCCCAAAACACATTCACTCTTCTAAGAATCTGAATTTAAAAGATAAATGCCTGGGAGGCACTGATGCCAAGTTATGCCAGCAAGGCTCTCAATCGAGAAGTTCCATAAACTCTCGCTGCTCAATTCTTAGATGCCCTGGTTCCTAGCCTAACATGACATTTTGTTTTCCAGCTATTCTTTTAATCCTCTGTGTTACTCAATAATCTTCCAATAAACTCCTCTTTTACCTACATTATCCAAGACTATTTGTGTATTTGCAACCAAAAATACCTATAAAAAGTAAATGCATATAACTTTTAAAACAGCGTATCAGATCAAATTTTGCAAATTGTCATGAAACTGTAAAATACCTAAGCTTTTTCCTATTAATTCAACTTAAGACATTTATTTCTCATCTACACACTATTCTGTTCACATAACCAATAAAGCAGAGCATATTTTTGACATTACACTCCTTTTTTCATCTGCTTTCATAAACGTCCTCTGAAACTTAACAAAAAGCCAGTATCTTTTCTTAGTTTATTCAACAGGTATTGCTGCCTATTATATGCCAGTATCATGGGGGAATACAGTGTAGTGAATAAGAAAGACAAGGTTCTTATTTTATGTACACCTTACATTTTTAGGGGGAGACAGAGAGAGAGAGAAAATCAGAAAAAATGCCCGATTATAAGTGCTATTGCAAAGAAAAAAAAAGACAATGTGAAACAGTGAGTAGCTAGATGGCTTTTAAATTAAATGATCAGGGGAAGCCTCTCTGAAGTGACATTTGAGCTAAATTCTTAATGATAAGAAGCAGCCAGCCAATAGAGATCTGAGTGCAAATAACATAAAAGTCCCTAAGACTGGGAGTAGACTTGACTTGTTCTAAAAGCCAAAAGAGGGCCAATGTGACTATAGTGTGGTAAAGAGGAGGAAAAATCATTTAAGATGAGGTCAGAGAAATAGAATGGGCCATATGATATAGGGTTTTGTAACAAAAAGCAAAGAATCTGGATTTATTTAGAAATTAACAGACATAGGACAAGGAGGCTATTCACAACAAGATGCTTATAGAGAGTAGTTGAACAATGGACTAAGATGGGGGGAAATCAGATTACAAACAGTGGTTTCAGCAAAAATTTTAGAGTTGAAAGGAACCTTCTAGTCCAACATCTTCATTTTACAGAAAGAATGCTGTGGCCCAAACTGTGGCTTCTTGAAGGTCAGATTAAAGATGAGCAGAGTTGTGCTTGGTGCTCTGTGGCAGTTAGGCCAAAGTGTCTTCCACAATTCCTCACCCCGTTTTGAAGCCCAAAAGAGTCTATACCATGCGCATTTCCAAAGTGACATAGCAGCAATCAAATGGAAACAGTATTTATAAAGAATTTTTTTAAATTATCCATGCTAAATTTTTCACACTTCAGTTGATGACTGACTTTTTTAAAAGTGGTTAATAATGCTTAAGTATTTACCACCAAATATACTCTTCCCAAAATACGTGAAGTAGAACAAAATTGAATAAAACAACAAAATATACTTACATCTGGGTATTCTTTTACAGGCACATAAAGTTTCTCTTGTAACTGAACAATAGGTCCCACAGCATCAGGCAATTCTGCACTCCTTTTCTCTGTACTGCCATTTAATGTGTCATTGTACATGTCTTTCCGTACTCTGCTAATTTCTGTTAAAAGTAAAAATTTTAAATGTGTTAGACAAAAAAAAATATTCTTGCTAGTCCAGGGGAAAAAAGAGAGGGCAGGGGAGGGTTTCATTGATAAAGTGTTAAAACTCAAATAAAGAGCTCCTGGCCTACTCTATTATTCTCTGGATTAATCCCATGTTTAACAGGACTATAGCTTTAATTAATTTCTACCACAAACCAGTTTTCATATGAATCAAATACGTATCTTATTAACTTCAGAGCCCAAGCTCCTTCCTAACCAGTATAATATGGACTCGTTAGTTTTAATTTTTCCATGTCTAAATGAGGCCAGTCATTCTAATTGATAGCTTCAGTGAAACAACTGTAAGAATGCCTGTCAGACAAAACTAATACCAAAGCCTCTTTTGTACTTCAGAACTAATCTGTCTGAAGGACATTTAAACTGGACCACTTCATTCAATTATTTTTAGATATCTTTGGAATATCCAAACAGAGATGTTCAAAAGATAACAGACTGCAAGTTCAGCAGAAATCTGAGTTTAGTACACAAATTTAATGGTTAAAGCTATCAGAAGAGATGTTTTAGAGCAAGTAACGGGAGAAAGGACAGAAAACACTTTAGAAAGAGCAAGGCGTAAGGAAAAAAGATCTAAACCAAGAAGAAAGGGAGGTAGGCAGGAGAACTAGAGAACAGAGATGTCACAAAAGCTAAGAAGTGACAGATTCAAGGACAGGTTGATCAATAGTATACAATACTACAAAACAACGGTAAGATAAAGAGCAAAAGATGGTATCTTGGATTTAACCACTAAGCCATTGGTAATCAGAGAAGTTTCAAGGGAAAGATGGTAACAGATCAAACTACACCGGGTTAATGATTGAAATATTAAATATAAAAAAAGTAGAGATACCTAAAATCAATGACCTGTTTTTAAAAGCCTGTATTACTGTTCTTATATATACACAATCTTCATTTTTTTTGAAGTAGAAGAATTCTATTTTAATGAATTGAGTTCTATAAAGAAAACTGATTCTTTCAAAAATTATTAAGCTTCCAATATACACTACAAGACAGGCTTCTGTTCATTGGAACACACTGCCTAATAAGGGTTGTTATTATTAAGGTTAGCCAGATGCCTCTGTAATGTCTCTCTATGCTATAGTTTGTGTCCTCCCTGGGAGAAAGGCTTGCATCCATTAGTATTTAAAAATAAAACATCTTTTCTTTTTAAAATGTATTTTGTATAGTTTCCAAACATGAAATTTCAATCTATTGATAGTTCCTAAGGAACTATCAAATATGAATGTACTTTTTAATTTTTCTAACTAGTTATTTAAATCAGTTTCAGTTAAACAAAATACAACACAGCAAAAAGGCAGGATCAAAGGTACTCTTACTCTTACAGTTATAAAAATCTTAAATCAATTAAAAAAGGCACTGTAATACACCTTCTGCTTCAGTGATACAAATACTCATTTTATTACAAATTTTATCTCTTAAATAACAATTTGCTTGTCAAAGCTTACCAAATGCTTTTCTCTGAATAGCAAATAAAATCAACAAAAATCAAGAGATTACCTTGGATTTGACTACATAAGGGCAGAATTTTATTCTTCCTTAAGGTTCTTTTCATACTGCTAGTTTTATAATTAAATCTTTCCTAACAATGTCCAGTATCAAATAGTGTTTATCTTAAATTGGCATATGACAGCAATTCTCAAATCAAGTTTTCAACAACCAAGTAATAATTTAAACACAAATGCTCATTTATATCATTTACATAATTACAGCAAGTAATTAACCAAGAGGCACTAGAAAAATTTAATCTAATTAAAATCACACATAGATCCTTTAGCCGGGTCTCTAGACTAAAAAAGCACTTTCTGTATAATAATTACTTAAATTTCTTCTTCAGAAATGACCTATTCTTACTATATAGTTAGCACCACACCAATATCAAAGCCTCAGAACAGTATAAAATAAAACTATATATAAAATTTGCTTAAAAATATAGATGCAAACATCCGAAATAAACAGAAAAAGAAAAATGCACTAAAACATGGTAAAATTAGTTCAATATTGAAAAATCTTCTATAAGTAACCATAATATTGTAATAAATACGGGGGAAAAAAATAGTGATTTTCCAGGTAAATAAATATATCAAACTTAGAAAAAAAAATGTATTGCAAGTTATCGGAAAATTCAGATGACTAGATTAAAAAATGTACAGAGGCCAGGCGTGGTGGCTCACATCTGTAATCCCAGCACTTTGGGAGGCTGAGACAGGCAGATCACAAGGTCAGGAGATTGAGATCATCCTGGCTAACATGGTGAAACCCTGTCTCTACTAAAAATACAAAAAATTAGCTGGGTGTGGTGGCATGTGCCTATAGTCCCAGCCACTCAGGAGGCTGAGGCAGAAGAATTGCTTGAACACAAGTGAGCAAAGATCATGCCACTGCACTCCAGCCTGGGTGACACAGTGAGACTCCATCTCAAAAGAATTAAAAAATAAAAATAAAAAAAATAAAAAAAATAAAAACAAAAACCACGCTTCATATATAAGCATCTATCTGGTTAGAGGATACAATGCATTTACCACTTAAGTTGTATTTTTATAAACATCTATGTGATTCTTGGATTAATAACATTAAGTTGCATAAGATTTTATTACCCAGTGTGTCCCCAAGTCCTTGAACAGTACCTGGAATACAGCTGGCCCTCAATAAGTATTTGGTGGGGGTAAACAAAGGGAACAAAGAGCTAGGTTTCTGGAGCATGAAAGTTAAACAAGTCATGGTTCCAGCTCTCAGAGAACTTACTCTAATAAGAAAGATAAGAAGTCTTTGTAGCATGATTTTTTTTCAGTCTCTAAGATATATCACTCAATTTCATAACAGAACACAAATTAACATATAAGATAATAATGATGGAAATCAAAAGATGACTAAGACATAGTTCCGGTCCTCAAGGACTTTACAATCTTATTCACTGTTGAATTTGACCAACTGTGTACTATCTTTATAAACAGGAAAAAAGAATATCATAACTTCCTGGAATGTTATGCACAATACTCAAGTCAGAGCAAGTTCTGATTGCAATTCTAATAGTAACTCTGATTTTAGACAAGTCTCTTTCTTACAATCTCACTGTGCCTGTGGTTCATGTACTTACTGAATTAATGAACTGAATCCATTTGTTTCCAATCTTAGTATGCAAGAGCCCCATTTATTCTATTTCTCCATAATCCTATTTTTTAAAGTTTTGTTTTTAAAACTTTCCATTCCAAAAGTCCTGGCAATCAGAGCTTCTTGGAATGTTACCCTAGCAAGAGTTTATGATTATAGCCAAATTACTACAGAAACATGCAATGAGTATGGGTTTGGGAAATGCTTTAGTCCTTCTGTAAGTAGTGGCTTCACAGGCATTCATTCACGAAATGAGGACTGCTTCATAACTAATGCTGTAGATTCTATAATATTTGACACAGCATTCCTGTGCTTCATAACTAATGTCATATACACTATTTTGCTGTATCAAACATTATTCTGCTGTATCGAACATTACAATGCTCAAATGCCCCACCACGACCACCACTACTTCATCAACCCGCAGCAGTTGTTCACAGAACTAAAGGTTCAGAACCATTTGCTTAATCACACATAGTACAAAAATTCTCCCAACATGAACCCCAGGCATGTATCTTCTATCAAAATATCCCCAATACCAAGAGAAATTGTTTTAGACATCTCTGAAGATCTTATAAATACTATAAATTTGTTTTAATAAATCAAAATCTGCTCTAAAATTTCTACCACTGGCCACCACTCAGAAGCCCCACAACACATTTGAAAAATTCTAAAATATCTAAGTGTCCTCTTCCCTAAACCAGTCACATGGTTTTATACCCTCCCACTTGTTTAGATGCACTCTCATTTGTCTAGATCCCTTTTAATATGTAAAACCCTATACTGTATACAATATTCCATAATGATCAATGGGTAAGCCAACTGAGGCTATCAACCTCTAGTCCCAAACCCTGGACCCTCCATAATCACTGCTTAGGAGTTGATGATGTTTAAGAATACCTTTACTTTCTTAGCAAACACAGCACACTGTTGACATTTTGCTGATGATGGTGCTAAGACAAGTCTCTACCATTCCATAATTCTACAACTGTTTGTTTAGACATCAACAGAAGATTTCAATTTTTTTTTCCTGGTTATTTTCTGCTACACATATCCCTTCAGCAGACTGACATTAATCTATCAGCTGATATCCTTTAAGGATGAATAGTCTCTGAGTCAAGAAATCAACTAACTGCAATTTTATAGAGCACCCATTTCTTTGGCCCAGATACCAAAACACAAGCATACCTTTTATCAACTACCTGATGAAATCTCAAGCTACAATGGGACCAGAACCTCCCTCTGGAGCCCCCAGTTTAAAGAAGAAATAATCTGTTTTGAAAACTACGGGCTGTACCATCAAGTTTAGAATATGTATTTTTCAGCTTTGGGGAGTATTTACCTTTACAGCATTTAGGTTCCTCCCATTTTTTTTAATTTACTTTTTTTTTTTTTTTCCCCCAAATTTCAGTATGCTGAAAATTGTTTTTTGTTTAGGCCTGAAAATTCATTACTATTTACTGTCTCATCACATTTCTCTGCTTTAATTATCTTGATTTTTTTTTCTTTTCCAAACTAAGGCACAACATTCAGTTAATTCTGCTCCATCACTGCATAGCACTGTTGTATATGACCTGCTAACATCATACAGTCTACCTTATTCCTTTTTATCTCCCCTTAATTCACCCAACTATGGATTTCACTAAAAGGTTTTAAAGTCATTCTTATGTTTCATAAGCCTCAGCTCATTTTTGTCTTTGGCTTTTCTGCTACCACCACTCTTTTACTGTATCCAAATTATTGTATGTATACTCTGCCACTTTTCAATTTTGTACACATTCTTTTAAAATCTGAATTACTGGACTGGGTATGGTGGCTCACACCTGTA